ATAGCCTCGGAAACCCTATTCAGGGTCGCTATGGGTCGAAACTGACTCGACGGCACTTAACAACAACAACAACAACAAACGTTCCTGGGTGTTTGGTTTATGTTTACTATGGGTAGTGGTTCAATAATGAACTTGATCAGTCTTCCTACTATCTAATTTATAATTAAACCTTCCTTAGCACTGTCTGTATTTCTGCTTGAGGTAGAAGTCTCTAGGGCACCTGTCAGTTACTAAATTGATGAATAATTATACTTCAGAGGAGGCTGAGTTTGATCCAGATGAACTGGAGACCCGGGAGACTAAACCAACCTGTTGCCACCCAGTTAGTTCTGAGTCATTGGTTACTCTAATCTCCAAAGTTTCCGTTAGCAGTCAAGCAACATCCAATGACTCCAACCTGGGGAATCTGAACTGCTGGAAGCAATGGTCAGCAGTTCAAATCCACCAGTCACTCTGTGGGAGAAAAAGCTAGGCTGTCTGCTCCACTAAAGATTTACGTTTCAGAAATCCTAAGGCATCCTGATGTGGTGCTGTAGGATAAGCACTGGACTGCTAACCAGGTGGTTGACGGTTCAAATCCACCAGTTGCTCCTTGGAAACCCTACACAGGGTTGCTGAGTCAGAGCTGACTCGATGACACTTAACAGCAACAAGGAGCAGTTCTACTATGTCCTACAGGTAACTATGAGCCGGAATTGACTTGATGGCAGTAGGTTTTTGGGAGGTGCCCTGGTGGCACACTGAGTTAAGCACTGGACTGCTAATCTAAAGACCAAAGGTTCGAATCCATTAGTTGCTCCATGGGAGAACAATGGGGCAGTCTGCTTCTGTTAAACCGTACAGCTTGGAAACCCTATTGGACAGTGTGCTACTTTTTGCTATAGGGTTAGTATGAGTTGGAGTTGACTCACCAACAGTGGGAAGTAGTCCCTGGGTGGAACAAACAGTTAAACATTCATTCTGGTACTAACTGAAAGGTTAGTGGTTCAAATCCACCCAGAGGTGCCTTGGAGGAAAGGCCTGGTGAATGACTTTTGAAAAGTCATTCATTGAAAACCCTATGGAATACAGCTCTGCTCTGACACACAGAGAGTCACCATGAGTTGAAACTGACTAGAAGACAATTGATTTTTAAGGAATCTGCAATAGGAGCAGAGTCTGCAGGTCAGAGGCACTGACCAGCTGCGAGGACAGAGAAGAGGGACAATGATCGTAAGTGTCCTGGTATGAAAGATCCTGGGCTCCAGAGGCCCAAGCAAGGCAGCATGCATAAAATATCCCTCTGCATCACCAGGCTTTCCGAGTTCTTTTCTCTTGCATTCAAGGACTGAGATAAGAATGCGCATTCTGGTTGTTGGCAGTCTACCCTCTGGCAGCAAAGTAGCATCTGGTTTAGTCATCAGTCTCTTCTGAGTTGCCTAAGTCATCCACTGACATGTGGCCCAGACCCTGGACTCCAGGGACCTGTGAGAGCTGCCCATTTCTGTCATCTATTGTCATCAGCACTCTGATTCTCCCGGAGACTCAGTTTAGCCATAGACTCATGATGTATTACAATGTAATATCCTAATGCCAGGTTTGGTCTACTATTAAAGAACCCACCTGGGATTCCCAACAATACACTTTCAGAGGCTGTGGACCTCTTGAAAACCTGAAGGAAAAACTTTTGAGTCCGTTCCTGGAACTAAAAATAAACTTGGGCTAATGTCCAAAAACTGGGAACAGTTTCTAAGCTCTTCAATCTTGATGGCACTCAATGCACTGGAGTCAGAGAGCATCATAAGACAGCGTCACTGGTCACTCTCTGCTTCACACTCTTACATTTACAGCCCGCTTCTAACCTGACCCACCAGGCCTTGCCAGTACTGGTCCAAGGATCCCTCTTCAGCTTGGGGCTTGCCAGTCCCCCTCCTAAATGCTGCATTCCAGCGTCTTTGAAGCCCTTGTTTTTTTTTCATATCTGGCCCTTTGCACATGAGAACTTCTTAAACAGACTTTCAATCAATCCTCTTGTATTATTATTATTTTTTTAATTCTTGCCTTCACCCCCACTCCTAGACATCCTCAGCACTGCCCATTCCTGAGTTTTTTGTTCTGTGCTATAACTTGGGGTTGTATTAAACCCTGACAGCTAGGGTTTATTTAGCTTTCTTGGATCTGCCACTTGGTTGTGTTAGCTGCCACCAAGTTGACTTCCAACTGATGATAACTCCATCCATGCACAACAGAAAAAAGTCAGCCCGGACCTGTGCCATCCCATGATTAGTTGTGATCATACCATGGTGACCTATAAGGTTTTTATTGACTGATTTTCAGGAACAGCCCTTCCTAGTCCATAAGCTCCACGGAAACCTTTTCAGCATTACGGCATACACAAGCCTCTCACGTCAGACAGGAGGTGTCTGTGCTGGGAAATGAACCCTGGGCTCCTACATAGAGGAGTCTGGTAGTGTAGTGGTTACGAATCAGGTTGCTAACCTCAAAGTCAGCAATTCGAAACTACCGGCTGTTCCATGGGAGAATGATGAGGCTTCTGCTCCCATAAAGATTTACCGCCTTGGAAACTGTATGCAGTATTGCTATGAGTCAGAAACGACTCCATGGCACATAACCACCACCACTGCTCCTACATGCAGGAGTCCTGGTATGGTGCTGTAGGATAAGCTGGATTGCAATGTTGGTAGTTCAAACTCACCAGCCGCTCTTTAGAAACCTTACACAGGATCCGTTATGTGTTGGAACCGACTAGATGGCACTTAATAACTATAACAAGTCCTACAAGGAAGGTGAGAAATCTACCACTGAAACACTAATTTGCTTTCCAGCTTCTAATATTTTGCTGCCATTGTATCTTTTCCCATTCTTTATCCATGTGGGTTTGTGCCTCATTTTACAGGGACTTGGGCAAGAAGAGACACCAGAGCCTCTGTCCTTTACCTATAAGTGGCAGTCCATACCCAGTTCTTAGCATATGTTGCTTAGTACTTATTATGTGCCCAATAAATTTGTTGGCTGGATGAAGTATTACAGATAATGCCATTTTTATCTTTGGTAACCAAAAGGTGAGAAGCCCTTTACACTGAAATCTCCATTTGTATGGTATGCCTGAGTTTTTCAGCATGAGTTCACAAGCCCTAAGCAACATTGGTTGCACTGTGGATTAAATAACTAAAGGTTGGAGGTTCAAACCCACAGGTCACTCCATGTAAGAACAATGAGGCAGTCTGGACCCATAACAATTTATAGTCTCCGGAACCCAAAGGAGATAGTTCTACACTATCCTATAGTGTTGCTATGAATTGGAATCAACTCAAAGGCTGTGCGGGTTTTCTATGTGTGTGTGTGTGTGTGTGTGTGTGTGTGTAGTGAAAACAGTTGAAACCTGGGCTCTGCCCACCAACTGGTCATGTGACCTTGGTCAAGCCCCTTTTGTTGTGGTGCCTCTTCTGTAAAACAGGAGCGATAATACCTTCTTCAGGAGTCTTGCTCAGTATCTAGAGCATGGGAAGCTCTCAGTATCTGTGGTAAGGAAGGGTTCAACTTCAAAGTGACAATTCTTGGAAAGTTAGTGTTTCATCTGAGCTTACAATTAGCCTTTACACTTGAATTGCAAATTGGTTTCTAATGAATGCCCTTCAGCACAAAATCTGTGTTTAATCTGACCTGGTGCTTGGATGTTGTTGAGAGGTACCATCCAGTTGGTTCCGACTTGTACGGGCTCTATGTACAACAGAATAAAAACATTGCTCGGTCCGCATGATCCTCACAACTGTTGCTATGCTGCAGCTGCTGTGGCAACACATCTCCTTAGAAGTCTTACTCTTTTTTACCAAGCATGATGTCCTTCTCCGGAAACTGGGCCCTCCTCATCACAAGCCCAAAGCACATGAGACAAAGTCTTGCCATTCTCTCTTTAAGGAGCAGTCTGAATGTACTTCCCAAGGTTTGTTCATTCTTCTAGTAGTCTAGGGTACACTCAATATTCTTTGCCAACACCATATTCAAATGCATTAATTCTTCTCTGGTCCTCCTTATTTATTATTGCCTGCTTTGACATGCAAATGAGGTGCTTGAAAATACCAGGGCTTGGGTTAGGGGCATCTTAGTCCTCAAAATAACATCTTTGCTTTTTAACATTTTAAAGACAGAGATGGCAAAAGCTTACAGCTGAAAGTAAACTCGGAGGGTCTACTGTGTGTTAGCCCCCCTCTTCCGCCAGGCTGGTGGACCCAGAAGTTACTTAGGATATTATTCCTAAATACCGTGTCTCTGTCCTGTAGACTCTGTACTAAATGTCCCCCATCCACTACAACTCCCAGAACTGATTTGTTAAAAGGTGCGGGTGTGGGGACCCAGATTCCCCGTCTGTTAAACAGGCTCACCCAGGGGGAGGCACAGTTCCCGGGACCGGGGCGGCACGGCAGTGCCTCGACCTACCCGTAGAGGACGCAACTCTCTCCGGAGAGAAACTGAGACAGCATGCTGAGACGACAGCTCCACGCTCCCTAAGTCCACCTCGCCCCGTCCCGCTGCCAGCCCCCTTCCTCCGGTTTCCCTTGCTACTCGGACCCTGCCAGCGCACCGGGGCCTGCAGGGTACAAGCTGGGGTCCGGCCTGGTTGAGGCGCAGGTGAGGGCGGGGCCTGGGCGGGGACGAAGAGACGGCGCCC